CTGTAGAAGTTGCTATGGTACATGGCCTTGTTAATTTCCCCCTAAAAGTAGTAAAGCTCTTCTGTAACCTTAGTAAAAAAAAAAGCCCATAATGACACGATTGCCGTTTGGGTCATATTAAGCATGTTAATTCATAAATCAACACTTTAGTCTAGGTGAAGTTGATTTTGACTGCAGGTCGTTTTACTCAAACCTCTACACACCATTCGGATGTTTATTAGCTCCTTCCACATGTATCTTCTGTTGGTGTTGGACGGTTTCAGACATTTTAGTGTTATCAATAATGTTCTTGATGACTGTGGGCCCTACAGCTTTCAGATCATCAACACTCACTTCCTGTGCAGCTGTGAGCTGATTCCTTACCTTCCTGGGATAATTTTTACCCCATAAAGAAATCCCACATGCAGTTACCCATGGAGGATGAACCATTTCTTCCACCAACAATGACCTTTTAATCTGGCTTCTCGGTGCAGGTCTTGGAGTTGCTTTTGTGGCTGAAGGTTGTAGGACTGCCTTTTGTTCAGTATTTTACTGAATTTATTGTTATTCTTGAATAATGCACTGGTTCTTCATTGGATTAACTTGAAAAATGATCTGTCCATAGACCCTTTAATTTCACTGCTCTTACATTTGATTTCTTATTTATTTATAACTTTCTGACCCAGTGCTGCTCATCACCGAACTGTTTCTGGATTCTAGAAGTTGCTATTGGAGCACATTTTGGTACCACCATTTATTCATGGCAGTTTTTCCGCAGCCCAAGTAACCTGAAGTTGGATTTTCCAGAAGAAGTTTACCCATCTTCTGCAGTCCAATCCTGGATCTTGCTGCCAATCTAGAGATAGCTCTGCACTGGTGGCAACCTAATGCTGTCATTGAGATTTCTTTAAGAAAAAGTTGAGTTGCCTGATTCAGTGATTATCCTGAACCTTATATCTCAGTGCAGAACTTTTGAAAACCAGATGTTCTAGGTTAATTTTTTTTTTTACCAAAAAACGCACTTTTGCATTAAAAACCTAATTAACAATATTGTGAACAAATTAATAGCAACAATACAACAGAACAGATTTAAAAAAGGATTACACTTTTATTTAAAAAGATCATTTAATTATCAGCTAAACCAAATCATCTTCAATGACATGTCAAAAGGCCAAAACCAAAATGTCATCGGTGAAAACATCAAATTATTTTCCTATCTGAAATATTTACTGTTGATTAAACACATTTCTATGAACTGTAGCTGTTTCTGGACTTGTTTCATTCGTGGAGAACAAAATGTTTGTAAGTTTCCCTTCCCGTGTCAGCGCAGAGCATTGGTGCTGTCTACAGGAACAGATTGATTTGTTGATTTGGGTCCAGTCCTACTCCCTGTGACGAAAAGCATTGATGTTTGTTGCTTACATTTAACCAGGGTCGAAAAAAGCAGTTTCCCTCTAAAGCAACAGTTCTGCTCTTCTACACCAGTCAGAACAACAGAGTCATGTGGGATCCTTGGAATGAATTGTTGACGTTTCTTCTATCTGCAAAAAAAACCCACACAATTCTACTAACATTCATGAAACTCATCTCTGTTCTCTGATAGGCTGCTGTTAGCAAAGAGTTTAAAGATCCTAACTATTGACTCAAAACTTGTTGATCCTATGAGATTTGGGGCTTTTTCCTGATAATTTAATTTATTTAAATTTAATAATCAGGTAGTAGTGTAAAAGAAGAAAGAAATCAGCTCAAGTCTGTGAAAAAGTCCTGTAATTGTTATGGTTCACCCCTTTTGGGACTCAGTTATCAGTTATTCTGTTTTGTTTATTTTTGGCTTATTTTCCATTATATTCAAGCAGTCTTTAGTTACTCTCTGTTGCCCCCTTGTGCCTGTTTCCTTTCACCTAGGCTTACATCTAGTTAGTTCCACTTACACCTGCTCCATATTCAGCTTATTAGCCTATCCTTTGTTCTATTCCCCTTATTTTTACTCAGTTCTGGTTCCTCGTTTTTGTTTGTTGCTTCCTCATCTCTGGCTCCCCACTTGAGTTTTTCCCTGATGTTTGCTCATTTTTTATTCTTGTTTGGATTTTTGGATTTTGCTTCATTAAAATTACAAGAACTAATCTCTGCATTTGGGTTATCAAGGAAACCCCCCCCCCCCCCCCCCCCCCCGTTGATAGTAATCAGTTTCAACTTCAAAATATCTAAAAAAACAACTGTTAAATCTACAACTTTTGCCCTTTGAACGGCATGAAATTATATCTTTTTACACACCCTCCAACAATTTGCATGGATGTCAAACCCGACTCATCTTGGAGGTATTTATGTCATGCATAAATATGTCATCAGACAAAAAAAAAAAATGAGAGAAGAGAAAACATCATGAGTAATATTATCTGTAGCATTTAACACTATTGTGGTTTGAAAGAAAGATGTTTAAATGACGAACACATTGCTTTGATGATGTGCAGCTCACCATGCAGCAGAGCAATGAACAGACCTGGAAACAGCAGAGATGAGGGCATAGAAAGATGTTTCCCCGGCTGCACGCTGAGACAACCGATTTAATGTTTTGTGCCGGCTGTTTGTAGAGCTTGGGCCCTCCTTCCTGCATGTGAAGAAGCCAGCTTTCATAAACAGATAATGACATTAGAGGGCTGCTGGTTTGCAGAGCTTCGCTGATAAAATCTCTTGAGTTTCAGCCGAAGACATGAAACTGGATTTTGATATCAGGGACCTTTATCCACAGGCAGTGCAGATCCAGCTTCTCATTTTTTGCGAATAAGCCGATTTGCTGCAGTTCAACGTGTCATTGCAGGCGGCACACTGTGAGATTCGTTATTTTTTTTAGCCTGCCCCTTCCTCCTACCTTGATCCATCTTCCAACCAAAGCTGGTTATGATTTCCTGCACAATTTCGAATAGGTAAACAAATCTAAAACTAGCTAATTGCACTCAGAGTTTTATTTAGTTTAGTGAAATCCAATAAATATCTGAGGTTATTTAGTGTTGGAGTAAAGGTACTGTTAACTCAGGGAGGTCAATCAGCTCCACAGTAGCACGATCCCGTTGCAGCTTTATTAGAAAACACAGAAAGCTGTCATAATGTTTCATGTTATTTGAAAAATTACATTCAGCTTCATTTTATCTCACAGCCTGAGGTTAGACTTAGATTCTTTGACCTAATTTCTGCCACATGAAAAATTATTATTAAAGCTTTCTTAAAGAAAGAGAATGTAAAACAGCTTTGTGCATATATCGCTTTATAATCTTAACCAAACTCTGCATTTATTCTTTTTCTCATTTCGTTGCATAAAATCAGAAATTGGGGTCTGCTCTGATAGTCTTACCTCAGTACTTTGTAGAACCACCTTTAGGAGCAGTTCCAGATTCGGGTCTTTTGGACTTTATCTCCTCCAGTTCTGAACATCTATAAACTCCATCTTTGTTTATTCTTCCCCACAGAACTCAGGGGCAGGTTGAGTTTCTGTGATCATCAATTTTCAGGTCCTGAGAACTTTCACTGGCCAGTTTAATATATTAATCACCACTATGTCTGTCTGATTGGGCGGTGTGTTCAGGGTGGTGGGCACTTTTAACTTTCCTTCACAAAGAGTGGTTTTATATTGGCCAAACACTCGTTTTGGAAATGTCTTTCTTTTCTTCTAAATATAGAAAAGGGGGAAGAACACTTCCTTTGAAATGTTTCCTGGTTAGCCAGTCTGCGGTTTCCAGACATGATAATCAAAAAGTCCAGCCTTGTGGACTGCACAGACTCCATATAGACTGTTTCTCCCACATGATATATGTATATATTCTTCAGGTCCTCCACAGTCTCTGACGTCCTTGTCAAGCCTGTCAGTTTAGCTGAAAGATAGGGATATATTCTTAGAATTAACCCTGTTTTTTCCACTTCCCAGAACTTCCTCCTTGTCTTACATGGTTCCTTTGTCTTCAAGATGCAAGCCTTTCACAGAACAGCTTAATTTATAGTGAGGTGAAATCACACAAAGTGGCCCTTCCCATTCAAACGCCAACCAAATGGCAGCCAACTTCCCTCCAAATTCCAGCGAAAATCCCCTCCAACTTCCAGCCACTCGAGTGACCCCTTTCATATTTTTTTTAACTTATTTACAGGGTCTGACCAGGAGATGGCTCTTCTTTTTAAATCTTATTGTCCACTAATAATAACAGAACAACTATTTTAGTACAAATATTGATGTTTAAAGAGGAATTGTAGGGGACCAGCCAAGGGCCAATCAAGGAAAGTGGGGAAATGAATGACTACTGCTGTATACCATTTACTGATAAAATGACTCACAAAATCCGTTGGTTTTATTAGATTTTAATTAAAGGAAGACAGGTCAGAATTCATATTCAGGGTGATGCTAATTTAACAAAAATCCAACTGGGATTAATTTCAACCAAAACTTTCTTATTTTTCCCCAGCCCTAAGTATAAACCTGTAGATGTTTCAATTAGTGTTGCACTGATACCTATACCAGTATCGGGCGGGGCCCCAATATAGCACTAAAATGGTGGTATCGTTATTGGCGAGTACCAACATAGGGCAATGATACCATTTTGAGAGCCAAAAGTTTAATCAACTATTGTCACCCATTCCAGGTAGGCAATAAAAAGTTCTACTGGATTCACTTTGTATTAGTCTTCTTCCTGCTTCACAAAGGTAGGCAGCAGCTTGACAAAGCCATGATGGCAATTATTTTACATCCAAGTAGTATGCAGTTCTTCATATATATATATATACACACAGCAATTTCAAACAGATGCCATCGGTATGGTATCGGTTTTGGCCATACTGCACAGCCAGGTATCGGGTATTGCATCGAGGCCAAAAAATGGCATTGGCGCAACACTAGTTTCAATTAAGAGTTTCATTGACAAAAAAAAAAAAAAAAAATGCAGTGTTGAAATAAACTCTGAGCAAACACATTTGTTTCAACCTAAACAGATACTCTGTAACCTATGTGGCTTTAAAGGTTGATCTATTTTATTCTACAGATCATGGAGGGAACCCTGACCCAATAATCTTCAACGAGCTCTGCGCCCTGAAAGATGAGTCTGGGCCGTGCAAGGCTCTCAAGCAAAGATACTTTTTCGATGTCAACTCAGGAGGCTGTGAGCTCTTTGAGTACGGAGGCTGTCAAGGGAACGCCAACAACTTCGAGACGTTGGAAGAATGCGAAGAGGCTTGCGTCGTCTCAAGTGAGTCAGCCTAAAGTTCAGCTTCTTCTTATCATTGTTTCTAAGGAATCTTTTAGATCAAACAATGTATATCAAGGCCTCGTCAATCAGCATCATCTTATTTTAAGTAATATTATAAGGTAGTATGACTTTGTATCATAAACAATGTTTATATGACTTTTTCACTGCCTGGGGCAAAGAGTCTTATAAGTCATTTCATGATTTGTGGAGAACACAGATAATTGCCATCTCTGATTTCTCAATACTTTTGCTGAAGGCCTCTAAGGCCATCTAAGGCAGTCAGGAAACTCACCTGATATTTATAGATAACAAGCACTAACCTGGAGAATAGAGAAAGAATTTCTATTCTTGTTTTTATGATTTATGTCAGAGTGCTTAATTTTATGGATTTTTTTTATGTTATATTTTTATGTTATATTTTTTTGTGTTACAAAACCGCAAATAATACAGATTTCTATTTAACAAGCCTCTGATATTCATGAAATTTTGGACAATTTGAAGTGAATTCACCACACTACTTTAACTTCATTTTTATGAGAACACCCATTTCCAGATGTTTTTGTTAGAGTCAGACCTTTGCTTTTAATCATAAAAGTTTCACCATTCTTTAAAAAAATAAAAATAGAATAATGTGTCACTAAAAAAGAAAATGTGATGGACAACTGCCGAGTGGCAGTCTCCATAAAAACAAATATATTTCACCATTTCAGACATCTATATGATATTGTGTAAAAAAAAAACAAAAAACAAAAAAAAACAGCATTTCTTTGTATTAAACAATTTAACATATCATTTAAACCACAAATCCATAGGGAAAGTTCAGACAACTTATTAGCAGCAATTTTACTCTCTGTTTAAATTGTTCTATAGAAAGTGATATGGTATGTATAATAGGGGTGTAAATAATAATCGTTTTGTATCGATGCATCGATCCAAAAGCCGACGATCCGATGCATCGACACGTCCGCAAGATAATCGATTAATGTTTTTTTTTTTCCCCTCCGGTCTATTTTTATCCATTTGCTCCTGGGCGTAATCCTCCCGTGCTGCGGTGGCGCTAAACCTATTTTGCCCTCCTACCGCGCTTCCTGGTTATACTCTTACAGCAGTTTGTTGCAGCAAGCTTCACACAGACATTTTTAAATTATGCTCAGTATTGAAGCGTGGTCTGGGCTACACGCTGTGGGTCTAGATACGGCCGAGGCGATGAGGAAGTGGGGGCGAGTTTAGTCCGACGACGAAGGGACATGAGGGCAAAAAGAGCGGAGATTCAGCTGGAAAAAGCGTCCCAGCGTTCTCGCGCACCTCGCTCTTCTAGCGGGTCAAACTTCACGAGTTTTTTTCCGCAATTTCGGTCATAAAAACAAAACAAGCCGACCTCCTGTCTGATGCACTGTTTGCAGTCAGCTACAATCTGGGAGAGGTGCAGCAGAGCGTCTCTCAAGGGGGCGGTGACGCAACACTCTGGAGCCTTCTTCTTCTTCTTTTTTTTAATGGCGGTTGGCAAACAACTTATAGGTGCATTACCGCCACCTTCCAGAATGGAGTATGGACCAGACAAACGTTCTTCTTAGAAAATTAAAAATACTACCAAAAACTACATCCCCAGATGACCTTTGAAACAATTCCCTTATATCTAGTTTATTTTTATTCCTGTCTAACTCTCTACACAACATCTCTCTTTCCTGAATATATTTATTACATTCTAAAAAAAATATGTTGGACAGTTTCTCTGGAGCCGAGGTATTGCATTGAACTCATTACACTGATATTGTGCAGTATTTTTGCAGTATTTTTTGATGCAACTTTTCTACTTCTGTTATTTGCTGTTGTTTCTAAAGAAAATGCATAATGATATTACAGCTTTCATTGATTTATTTCAAACTTGAAACTTTGTTTAGCCTGTAAGGTGTAAAAAAAAAAAAAAATAATAATAAAAAAAAATTTTACCGATTAATCGATTAATCGAATCGAATCGAATCGAATCGTGGTGTATTCTTAAGTATCGAAAATAATCGAATCGTTGGGTCAGGAAATCGATACTGAATCGAATCGCCATGATGGATGTGATTTACACCCCTAATGTATAATACACTAAACTGTATTTGAGTTGTACTAGAGTAAGGACGCCTGATAAGACAACTACTACGAGTTGGATACTGGTGAAATTCATTATTAAAAATAAAAATATTACAAAAATTATTTGCTTTTATGTTCTGTTTTTACTACCTTTCTACAGGACAGTATACCATTCAACGTACAGCTGGTCTGACATTATAAAGATGAATATCAAATAATTTTAAATATAGTTGCGCTTCATCATCACTCCGCACTGCATCTGTAATTATTTAAGACCCACAGCATGATGCTACCACCACCGTAGGTGACAGCTTTTAGCTCTTAAGCAGCCTAGATGTGAAAGCCTTACCATGACTTCTCTTTCACATTAAAAACAGCTAAACAGTTAAGTCAGTAGTACTTACACGGTCTTGCCCAGACCAGTTGGGTGGCAAAAAGGGGACAAGCTCCATACAAAAGATGATACACATTTGGTTGCAGCTTGTGCATGCATCCATGATCCATTCACTAGATCAGCTGTATCAGCAAAACAGTAAAAGTTTAAAGCCACTTTCATGAAGATATTCTCCGAGTGTAAAATATGGAGACTATATGATGCAATGTGTTTTTTTTTCTTTTGTTTTTTTTGTGCTGCCGATGGAAAATTTTACTCACCTGTTCTCCTCCCATTCATGCTGAAAGCCACAAGTTACAGCATGCTACTGTGATATATCTGTGTTTCTTTGGTCTGGCATGGCGTGACTGAGCTCCGTGGGTACTGCAGCCCACAACAAAAGCTCCAGCTCGATTTCAACACTTTTTGCAGGCATAAACAAAACAAAGAAATCTCATGTTTAGGGCTGGGTATTGTTAAAAAAATTTCGGTTCCGGTACCAATACCGATACCTTCACTTCGATACCGGTTCCTGAACGATACTTTTTTCGATACCAGTTTTATAATATCAATTCGAAAAAAAAAGAAAATTACACAACATAAAAAAGTACAAATCTTGAGTTTTATTTTAAGCTCTGTTTTTCCATTTACATTTTTCCTCTTACATAAAAAAATAAATAATTCAGTGTCTAATATTCACTGTTACATTGTGAGGACCTTTTTACTTAGCAGTTTTCCTTTAGAAAAATTACCATGTCTGACAAACAAACCAGTTGAATGGGATCCTACTGACAGCGCACCGCTGGTATGGGGGGGGTCTGAGCGGCTCCGACAGAAATATTGAAGGCAGGATGAACTGACTGCACTGATTACGTTTTCAGGTGGATTTTCCCACTTAAAAACATAATAAAACTACTTTATTCCCACTGATCACAGCAAATATAGCTGCAAGGCAAATAAAGGATAGAGTAGCTCCGCCCAACGCGCGTCTGACCCACTTTGCGACCGCGCAGCCAGAGCAGCAAAGCTTCTTCAGCAGCGCGTCAGAAGCTGGTACAAGCAGCAAAAATGAAGCAGCAGACGAGATTTTGCTGCTCTTGCTGCGTCCAGTTTGAAAGCAGCATGATTCACTCCGCTCTGGCTTTGCTCTGCCCACGGGCTGCTGAGAGGAGGATGGTCGCGCTGGCTGCGGTCCGCTCTTCTTGCAGTCAAACACAGAGCGACTTTCTGCTCTTAAATTATTTCCGTGCACGATGTATTGCATTGTGCACTATTAGCATCAGTCTTAATAAAGTGAAGCCGCACTTTTGACCTGGGGGGCATTTTAAAGGGGTTCCGCGACGCTGCAACCAGTTCACAAAAGATACACATGAACCCTGGCTGTAGGCGTGACCACCTGTGTATTTTTCCTGGATGACGCAATCACCTTAAGTGTTCCAGCCAATCACCGAAACTTGGTACCGAAAGACGAGGCATGTTTCGATACTCTGTAGAACCGAAGCATTTCGGTCGGTACCATAAAAGTACCGAAGTTCGGTACCCAGCCCTACTCATGTTTGACAAAGAAAGCTGAGAGGACCTAAAGGCAAGTGTTGGTCTGTTATATAGACCTTCTCTCTGCACAGACCAATTAATTCAAGCATCTTTATTATCCCAGGGAGGATATTTTTTTTTACAGTCCAATAGGAAAACAAGCCCATGAACAAAACAGGAAGCAGACTTGGATTAACCCATATCATACATACATACATGAGTTGGAAAGGTATGATTTGTTCTACAGTTTGGAAAAAATAATATCTCAATCCAGAAGGAAGGAAGTGGGATTCATTCTCATAGTTCAGGTTTTTGGAAAATAAGTGTTGTGAAATATTCACTGTCTGTAGCTGAGATGTAACAGTGTTCCTATGATCCCTGAGGCTCCTGCTATGAAAAAAATGTCTGCTGCTCCGGTACGGGGCCACAAATTATGAAAGCTTTTTAGGCTAGAAAGACTATGCATGTGCTTTGTTAGACAGTTTCAACAATTTTAAAACATCCTGAAGCTGTCAGTTAACAATTATGATTATTTTTTCTTTAACTAGCATTCATACTATCCATCTCTTAGATTTGTCATCAATGTTCCTCTTGCAGCCACATCCAGGGATGTTTGAATACAGTCCCATTGTTGTTAAATGTTTGAATAATATATTTGCATTTGTAGTCAAAGAAACATCAAGCTGCTTGTCGTATAGCCTTTACCTTTAATGCTACGTTAACACCGGACGTGCTTTGGGCAGCAAAATGAAACGCCTGCTGCTTCATTTTTTAAGCTTGTACACATTAAGGTCAGACATGCGTCAAGAGCGTCTTTAACGCTCCTGAAGTTTCCTAAAGCTTCTGCTCCTGTGTTCAATGGCAGAGAGTGGCTAAGATATAGCAAATCTGCTTTGCTATATTTGCTGTGATACGCTGGTAAAAGCTAGTAGCCACACTAGTAGCCACACCTCAAAACATCGTCTGTGCAGTTAGTTCATCAAGATTTCGATCCTGCCTCAAAATATTATTTTTC